AAATTGAATTTTTGGGCGTAAATTTCCGTGGGTCCCGTTTGTGTTACGGAAATTTATGCCCGAAAAATTTCCTGATGATATAAACTTTTCCAAAAATTGGATCTTATTGGATCTAAATAGAGGAAACGAAGAAATAGTTTCAAAAAATACAATAATAAAGTTTCATCATCTATTAAGTAGTCATTCTGGTAACTTGTCATATGAGCGACCAAAATTCAATTGTAAAATAAGTATAAATACTTGTGTAACACGTTGATCAAAATCTAGACTTTCCTATGCTCACCGTACGCAACTCCTATTTGATGCCTGTACACCACTCATGTGATTGACCGGAATCCACACCTTTCCGTCTTACCTGGGCTTGACTGGGCTCGGCCAATGGGGAGCTTTACACAGAGTTGTTACATAATATAAATTTAAAATAGTGACAATCACTATTTTAAATTTATATTGTGTAACTATGTGTTGGTAGAACTGTCAACATAAAAAATTGTTTCAACCATCTCTCAATTCACAACTTAATCGAGATGAATAAATCAAATCTAAGTCAACAATCAGTAATTGTTAACCTTTTCGGAAGTCTAAGTCCCATTTGCTTAAATTTTTCTCCAGCCGAAAATGTTACATTGTTTGACCTTAAACGAACAATTTATTCTCGTATACAAATTGACCCCGATCAAGTATATTATACCTCTTCTGGTAAATGCTTAACTGAGGACGAACAAATATTTGAGAATGAACAAGTAAAATTCAAAATTTTAAATCTCAATCTTCGGTTGTTGGGAGGAAAGGGTGGTTTTGGATCAATGTTGAGGGCACAAGGTGGTAAAATGGCTAGCCAAAAAACCACCAATTTCGAAGCCTGTCGCGATTTAAATGGAAGAAGATTGAGGACAGTTAATGAAGCTAAAAGATTAGCTGATCATTTAGAACAAGAACCAGAAAGACAACGTATACGAAGAGAAAAAATACAAAAAAGAATAACTGAAGGAATGACTGAACCTCCTCCAAAGAAAATTCGATTTGATGATACCGAATATTTGAAAGCTAGTGAAGAAATGAAAGAAAAAGTGACTGTTGCGATATCCGAAGCAATGGAGAAAAAACCAATGGATATTAATAATAGTAATAAAAATAAGAATATTAATAGTAGTAATGGACAATCAAATGCACTCGCATTATGGGACGTTGTTTTATCTGATGATGATGATTTAAACTCTTCTGATAATGATTCAGACACAACTATTAGGAAAGAAAAACCAAAAACTGATAAAGGAAAGGGGAAAGAAAAGGAAAAAGAAAAGGAAAAAGAGGAAAAAGAAAAAGGGAAAGAAAAGGGGAAAGGGAAAGGGAAAGAAATGGATAAAGAAATGGATAAAAAGATATATAAAAAGATGGATAAAAAGATGAATAAAGTGAAATCGATCAAGAAGAGAAAATTGCTCGACTAATTTCTCCAAAACCTTTTATTAATTCATCAAATAGTATTTAAATTATCAAAAGAAAGTTTTATTACCAAAAAGTAAATTAGTAAATTAGCAACATAATAATTTATTGATGAAAATATTTTGTTATAAATATGAATTTGATTTTTTTTTGTGGATTCGTTAATATAAATTAAATATGAATCAATTATAAAACTTATAAATTAAATATGAATTAATTATAAACTTATAAATCTCTTCGCCTATAATTCTAACTAATACATGAAATTTTGTTCAACATCATTTTAATAATCGAACAAGTGAAAAATAATATGTGGATTCAATCATTCGAAAGTTTCAAATAAATTATAAAAATTAAATAATTGTGCTTTCTAAATTTTCTCTTTTCACTTTGCGAATTAATTGGTTGCCTTCGATTACATTATTCTTCTATGATTCCAAGTCATCTTATATTTCACTATTTAATAACAAGTTTTTAACTAAGGGATATCCTGATGACCTGATAGGGCAGACGCAATAACATCCGTAACGTCCTTTAATTCATCACCAAGATTTAACAACATACCTTCTCATTTTGAAATTTAAAAAAAGTTAAAAATTAAAAAAAATTAATAGCTTTATGATAGACATCGAAGAGATAGAAAAAACAAAGCCACAATAGATATCCAGTATTTTTAAAACTCACCAGTATTCGCAGTGGAATCAGCCACCAATGTAATAATTAATGGTGCATTATTAAAGTGCACAACTTGATGATTTTCATATACGCTTATAATAAATTTATTTTTTTTTAAACCTAATTTTGATGCCTTTTGGGAATAATAGAAATAATAGAAATAATAGAAATGATTGAAATGATAGAAACATAAAATATCTCAAATCCAAATCATAAACTCACCTGATCATTGACTACGGAAAATGTTGTTGATAATGTAGGTTCAAATACTCTATCCGAAAAATCTTTTAATTCGGCTAATAAAAAAAAAATAGAATTTGTTAATCTTTATGAACGATTAGGTAACAGATTATTTAAGAGATTAAATATTGAAATACTATATTTACACTTTATTAATATAACGCCATCTCGGTCCGTTACTGTGATTACTTTCAAGCCATCAATTCTATTTTTTTTACGTTTGTTATAATGGTGGAAAGTTTCAAACCTTTAAATCAACTTATGAAAATAAATTACCTTAAAAGTAACTTATCAAAGTATATCTGTATTTCCTATATTGAATTTTAAGCTGTAATGCATTAGACAAGGTTAAAGAAAAAAAACAATAATAAGTCACTATTATATAAATACCTCACTCATAATGCTTTTTTTTAATAATTTTAAATAGAATAAATAGAATAATAGTATTTGTTTTATATGTTTAACGATCGTAGATTAATTAGATTAATTAGTTACATGATTAGATTAATTGATATAATTGGCTAATTGGCTACTTGGCTAATTTCTTCGCAATGAAGCAATTTAAAACACACCCGTCAACTCAATTTGTAAATTGTTTCTCTTTCCCTCCAAAAAAAAAATGAATTATCCAAGAAAAATAGAAATAACAGTACCCTGTTCTTCCTCTAACATAGGACCAGGATTTGATGTGCTTGGAGTTACTTTAAAACTATATCTATCTGTAAAGCTCGAAATTAATGAGAAAGAGAGTAATAAAAAAATTTATAATGATGATGTAGTTTTAACATATTCTGGAGAAGGTTCCGACACAATTCCTCTCAAAATTGAAAAAAACTTAATTACAAAAACAGCACTTTATGTTCTTGCATGTAATAACATCTCGGGATTCACCTCTCCAATGAATATCCACGTTCTTAACCCTATTCCATTGGGTCGTGGTTTGGGTTCTTCAGGAGCTGCTGTTGTTGCTGGTGTTTTATTAGGTGATATTGTTGGAAATTTGGGGTTAACAAAGAATCGTATGCTTGATTATTGCTTAATGATAGAGCATCACCCTGATAATGTTACTGCTGCTCTAATGGGTGGCTTTATAGCTTCATATTCAAAGGAATTGGGTCAAACAGATACCGAAGCAAAAGTCATTCCTCATTCCGAAACTTTAGACGAAAATGGAAATAGCGTTATCGGGGAAGTACCGGCACCTGATGTACCGACAGGAATAGGAAATTATATTAAATTAAATTGGTCTGAAGACATTAAAGCTATAACTATCATTCCACAATTTGAAGTAGCAACGGCAACAGCAAGAAGTGTGTTACCAGATAAATATGATAAAGAAGATGTGGTAAAGTTATTAATTAGTTGTTATTATATTATTATCTATATTATATACTTTTATTTATATTTTTATAAACTTAATCAAAATGTTTATTTTTTTAAATTAAAGGTTTTCAATTTGCAACGTTTGGCAGTTTTGACTATGGCATTATCTCATTCACCTCCAAATCCTGATTTAATATATCATGTAATGCAAGATAAAATACATCAACCATATCGCAAGCATTTGGTAAATAACAATAGAATTTAATTAATTATTTTAATTATTAATGATTTTAATTATTAATGATTTTAATTATTAATGATTTTAATTATTAATGATTTTAATTATTAATGATTTTAATTATTA